CCTTGTATTTGCCAGGATCCCATAGCCAATTTATATCCTGGTTGCTCCATTTCCCATCCAGCTCCTTGCTTGTGACCTGGAAAAGCAGTAAGGATGGTCCAAAGCTTTGGGACCCTGCACTTGTATCAGAGACCTGGAAGAAGCTCCTGGCTACTGGCTTCAGATTGGCTCAGCAATGGCTGTTACAGCCACTCAGGAAGTGAACCAGTGGACAGAACATCTTTGTCTCTTATCTCTGTGTATCTGCCTTTCTAAGTTAAAACAAAGCAAAACAAAACAAAACAAAACAGAGGCCCAAAGAAAAGGCAGTATCACCATGACACGGTCTACAGTCCCTTCTTTGCACTCAGAACTGTGCATATAGACCATGTTCCTTAATTTTAAAAGAAAAGTAAAAAGTAATTAGGAGTCAGTGCTGTGTCACAGCAGCTTAAGCTACCTCCTATGATGCCAGCACCTCGTAGGGGAGCGTCAGCAAGATCCCAGGCTGCTCTGCCCCTCAATGAGCTCCCTAACTGGAGCTGGGAAGGCAGCAGGAGACAGTTCCAATACTTGAGGCCCTGCACCAGGGATTCTCAGATGTAGTTTCAAGTTCCTGACTCCAACCTGCACCAGCTTTAACAATGTGGCCATCTGGGGAGTAAACCAGTGGATGAAAGATCTCTGTCTCTCCCTCTCTCAATATAACTTTCAAACAAATAAATAACTTATTTTTTTCTTCTCCACACAAAAAGGATCTATTTATTTGAAATGCAGAATTGCCAGGGGGCTGGTAATAGCAGGGTGAGAGGAACAGAGAGGTCTTTCACATTCTGGTTAATTTTCATCAGAAGACCTCAGTGACCAAAAGTGGGAGCCAGAAACTTCTTTTACGTCTCCCATGTGGGTGCATGAGTCCAAGGACTCAGGCCATCCTCAGCTGCTTTTCTGGGCATATCAGCAGGAAGCTGGATCAGAAGTGGAGCAGACAGAACTCAAACAGGTGTTAAGCTACCACCGGCAATGCCAGCATCACCCACGAGCCACTTCTGATCTAGGTTTCTCCTTCTGGGCCCAGGAAAACAGAAGATGGTCCAAGTACTTGGGCACCTGCTACTCACGTGGGACACTGGGGTGGGAGTTTCTAGCTCTGGGCTCTGGCTGGCCCAGCCCTGACCATTGTGGACATCTGAGGAGTAAACAAGCAGATGAAAGATCTCTATCTTTGACTTTCAAATAAAATAAATACAGCTTTATTTTTAAAATGTATTTTAAAGGCAAAATTACACACAGAGAGAGAAAGAGAGAAAACTTTCATCTGATACTCCAAATGGCTGTAATGGCAGGGACTGGGCCAGGCAGAAGCCAGGAGCTTCTTCCAGGTCTCCCATGTGGATGCAGGGGTCCGAGCACTTGAGTTATCCTCCACTGCTTTCTCAGGTACATCAGCAGGGAGCTGGATCAGAAGTGGAGTAGTTATGGCCAGAAATGGTAACCAAATGGGAGACAGCATTGCAGGATGAAGTTCAACATATTACACCATTATGCCTTAAAGGCATTAAAAAATATACTTATTTTTATCAGAAAGGTAGATTTACACAGAGAAGGAGATACAGAGAGAAAGGTCTTCCATCCACTGGTTCATTCACCAAGTGGCTGCAATGGTTAGTTGAGCTGATCTGAAGCAAGGAGCTAGAAGTTTTTTTCCAGGTCTCCTGGTATATAAACTGGTACCCATATGGGGAGGAGTTAACCACTGAGCTATAGCGCAGGGCTGCTTTTTTTTTAAAGATTTATTTTATCTTCATTAGAAAGCTATACAGAGAGGAAGATCTTCCATCTGCTGGTTGACTACCAAAGTAGCTGCAACAGCTGGAGTAGAGCCAATCTTTGACTGTTTTCTCAGGCCACAAGCAGGGAGCTGATGGGAAGCGGGGCTGCTGAGATTAGAACCAGCACCCATACGGGATCCCAGCGTGCTCAAGGTGAGGACCTTAGCCACTAGGCCACCGCACCAGGCCTCAGGGCTGTTTTTTTTTTTTTTAAACGTTCCAGTTTCTGAAGACCAGGTGTGTGAAAACGCTCTTCAAGCATGCTCAGTGAGTCAATACTGAATTCCTGGGCTGGGCGCAATGGCTCAATTGGCCAATCCTCCCCTCACAAACACTAAGATCCCATATAGGTGCTGCTTTGGATCCTGGTTAGTCTACTTCCCATCCAGCTGCTTACTTACAGAGTGACAAAGCAGCACAGAATGGGTGCCAGTTGTAATCTTGGTGGCCCTGCTTCCCATCCAGTTCCTTGCTTATGGCCTGGGAATGCAATGGAAGATGGCCCAAATCTTGGGACCCTGCACCTGCTTGGGAAACTAGGAAGAATCTCCTGGCCTCAGAGTGGTTCAGCTCCACCCACTGCAGCCATCTGGGGAATGAATCATTGGAGGGAGGAAGATCTTCTCTATCTCTCCTCTCTGTATACCTGACTTTTCAATAAAAAAATAAATAAATCTTTAAAAATTTTACTTATTGCTTTATAAAACAAAAATACTGAATTCCTTTCAGCTAGGAAAGACACCATTGTGAGACAACTCTAAAGCTCAAAACCGGCAAATTTGCACCACCAGCATGGCACAGTAGGCTAAGCCCCCAGCTATGGCATCAGCATCCCACACGGGTGCTGGTTCTAGTCCCAGCTATTCTATTCTACTGCTGACCAAATTCCCTGCTTACAGCCTGGCAGAGGATGGCTGGTGTCCTAAGACTCCTAAATCCATATTGGTGACTGACTTCTGTTTTCAGATGGACTCAGCTCTGGCCATTGTTGTCATTTGGTGAGTGAAACAGTGGATGGAAGTTCTCTCTGTTTCTCCTCTCTGTAATATACACTGCCTTTCAAATAAAAATAAAATTAATCCCAGGGCCAGTGTAGTGACTCAACAGGCTAATTCTTTCCCTGCAAGCATCTGCAACCTATATGATCCAAGTTCATGTCTTGACTGCTTTACTGCCCATCCTGTTCCCTGCTTATAACCTGGGAGAGAAAGCAGCTCAAATGCTTGGACTCCTGATACCCACATGGGAAACCTGGAGGCTCCTAATTAGGCTTAGCTTTCCAATAAAAATAAGTAATTTTGGGGCCCGGCATGAAAGCCTAACAGCTAAAGTCCTCGCCTTGAACATGCGGGGACCACTTTTAGGATCTAGTTCTAGTCCCAGCAGCTCCACTTCCCATCCAGCTCCCTGCTTGTAGCCTGGGAAAGCGGTCGAGGACGGCCCAAAGCCTTGGGATCCTGCACCCACGTAGGAGACCTGGAATAAGCTCCAGGCTCCTGATTTCTGATCAGCTCAGCTCTGGCCATTGCGGCTGCTTGGGGAGTGAATCATCGGATAAAGATCTTCCTCTTTCTCTCCTCATCTCTGTACATCTGCCTTTCCAATAAAAATAACCTTTTTTAAAAAACAAATAATTTAAAAAGTCTTTAGCAACAACAGAAGTTGGCAAATTGTTAATGCTCAATACATACATTCTCTTTCCCTCAGTGACAGCAAATGAGTGTCCCAGGAAAAAACATGGACAGCACTATGCCATTCTTGAGAGTTAATTCGAAAGCACTGCAAACTGAGACATGACTTACAAGTGCACCCAACCAAGTCACCAGAGTAACGAGACAGCAAGATCTCATCCTTTAAGCAGCACAAGCGCAGCTCTAACTGAAAAGGTGTCCTGCTTGCACTGTCTGCCTGAACTCAGCCCCAAGAAGCTGCTCTTGCTCCATTTGCTTATTATGTTCCACAGCAAAGATCCGATTCAAGCCCTCTAAAGTCACACAGTCAGAACTGAAACCAGCTCGTTTCCCACACAGAGGCCAGCCTGGCCACTCCAGGGCAACGCTCAGTGTAGACCACCGTGGGCACACCTGTGCCTGGGTGGGCACTTCTCCAGCTCTGGAGGTCAGAAGGTACCCTCGAAAGGGTTTTCTTCCACTTTACCCCGATCACACACCTCATCCTTGGAACAAACAGCGACGACAGACACCCACCCTTTCAGGCTGCTCAACTCCAAAGTTGGGAGGAAAACTTTCAAGCTGCACTACCATGAGTCTCGGCAGGCGAGAAGCCATAAAGGAAAGACCCTGAGTGAAATGGTCACGCCAGGCTGCGGGACACTAGTCATCCGTCCTGAGTCCTGACATTCTTCTCCAAGACTCCCTGTCGGTACACGGAGTGAGGGGCAGAAAGCCAGAGAGCACCGCGCTGGCAAAGGGGGTTCCTGAGGCAGTTTGCAGTCGCAAGCACCAGACCCGCTGGCTCGTTCCCTCCCTAGCTCCCCTTTGAAGTGGACAGCCAGTAGAGGGCAAAGGCCCTCTCCAGGCACTGCCATGGCCTGGCGGAAACACCTTGGCAAAGTTCAGTTCAGTGCCAGGATGGGTCACTTAAAGGCATCTGCGGCTGCTAGAAGCCTGACCGCGACACACACACACACACACACACACACACACACACACACACACACACACACACACGAACGAGAGGGAGAAACAGAAAGAGAAAGGGGTAAAAGGGGAGGGGACAGCTAAGGCAGCAGGTCGGCTGAGTGCCGCCCTCCCAGCACTTTCACCTGCCCCCCAGCTTCCGGAGACCAGCGCCAGATCAGACGTCAAACAAAAACTCCGCAAAAAGAATCCCGAGATGGGACGACTTCCACCTCTCTCCCTCGGCAGTGCCTCCCGGGACGCCCACTGTCTTCCTTTTGGGTCCTGGCCGGTCCTGGGTCTCCTCGCACCCCGACTCCGCCTTCGCCCCCTCTGCCCTCCGCCCCAACGAGGCCTGCCCCCTACTCAGGACAACCCAGGGACCCCGGGGGCTCCGAGGCGGGGCCGTCTCAGCTCCCCCCACTCCTCCCCAGGCCGGCACGGCTGGAGCCGGCCCGCAGCGGACGGCCCGTGTGCCCGGAGCTTGCGAGAGCCGGTCTCCGCCTAGGCGCCCTAGGGAGAGCAAAGGGGCGGCGGCGGCGACCCGTACCTGTCAGGTCTCTTCTCCGAACCAGCAGCAGCGCAACTTCAGGAGCCCATGTCCGTCCGGCAGGGGTCCGGCCCCTCTCCCGGGAGTGGGGGCGCGATCCCGGGAAGGGGGCTGAGGGGCCCAGGCAGCTCTAGCCCCTTCCCATGCTCCCCGCCCCGCGCCTGGCCGGGGCCGGACAGCGCCTCCGCCCGCCCCTGCGCACCGCCTCACACCCGCGCTCACACACACTCACACTCCCTCGCGCGCTCTCACACACGCACTCCCCTCCCTCCTCCTCCACTGTTTATCTCCTCCAGCTGTCTGGGGACCCAGGAGAAGCCCCGCACCGCGCCTGCGCCACGCAGTCTCCGCCCCTGCCCCGCACTTCACTGCCGGCAGCTACGCTACGGAGACGGCGCCGGGCCGCTTCCAGAATGGCGAGCCGGGCGCCCCCTCCACCTCGCTCCTCTCCCCGCGCCGGGTCAACGTCTGCTGCCGGCGGCGCCTACTAACCTGCTAGTGGGGGAAGTCCCGCTCCGCCGTGCCCAATCCTCTTCGCCGCTCGAGGGACCGGCAGCCAGTGGGCGGACGGGAAAGTCGGGTTCAGCCCCGGAGCATCTTGGGAGTCGTAGTTTTTAGCCCTTGAGGCGCTCCTCCGGAGCTGGCTGGCCCCACTCGGTTGCCATTAGTTACCCAGACGCACCACCCACTCCATCACTGCGTAAAAGACTCCCTCAGACCACTTCTGGACACCCACTGGCACACTAGCCCGGAACCCCGCAGAGTCCCAGGAACTCCACAAGACTTCCTCTGTGTTTCTGGATGTAAGGACCGCTTTAGATTAGAGCCCCAGGATGGGAGCCTCAGTCTACACTTTCCCGCCTGGGGGGTGTGGGAAGGACAGCTAAGAAGATAGACTTGGGTCTCTTGGGCCTGAAGGAAGAGCTTCAAAAGGAATCGACCCTTGGGGCAGGTGCCATGCCTCCACAGGCTAATTTTCCACCTGCAAGTGCTGGCATTCCACAAGGCCACCAGTTGCTCTACTTTCCACCCAGCTCCTTGCTGATTGCTTGGAAAAGCAGCAGAGAATGGCCCTGCACCTACGCAGGAGACATGGAACAAGCTCCTAGGCTTTGGATAAACTCAGCTCCCAGCCTTTGCGGCCATTTGGGGAATGAACTAGGAATGGAAAATCTTTGTCTCTTCTTCTCTCTATAAATCTTTCCAATTAAAATAAATAAATTAAATTAAAAGGGGGGGGAGCACCCTATCCTGGTCAGCCCTGGAAATCCCCAGGTCAATGGGCCAGACAGGGAAGTCAATGCTGTACCTCTGAGGAAGGCAAGGCCGTCTCAGCCCTGATCCCACGTGTGATAGAAACACATCCTGGGGCTTGTACCAGCCCTGCAGTCTCTGGCTGCAGCCTGGCATCCCAAATGGACAAGTCCCAGCTGCACCACTTCCAAAGCAGTTCCCTGCTAATGTGCCTGGGAAAATAATCCAGGATGGCCCAAGTACTCGGGGCCCCTGCACGCAAGGAAACCCTGAAGAAGCATATGGCTTCAGACTGGCCCAACTCCCACTATTGTGGCCACTTGGAGAGTGAACCAGCACATGGAAGATCTGTAACTGCCTTTCAAATAAAATAAATCAGGGGGGTGGAGGGGCACACACCTCCTCTCTGAAGAAGTTCAAGGTAAGGGAGGATTTTCCAAGTTGGAGAAAGACATTGTCCTCACCTTCTGATAAGGGACTCCTCTGTATGGCAGTCATCTGTCAGGATGGCAACAATTTGCTTTTATTTGCACTGTTGGTTACAGTTGCTAGTTTGCAAAATAAGTTAAAGCATAAAGAAGCTGGGCCCGGCATGATAGTGTAATGGTTAGGGTCCTCGCCTTGAACACACCGGGATCCCATATGGGCACTGGTTCTAGTCCCGGCAGCTCCACTTCCCATCCAGCTCCCTGCTTGTGGCCTGGGAAAGCAATTGAGAACGGCCCAAGGCCTTGGGACCCTGCACCTGTGTGAGAGACCTGGAAAGAAGTTCCTGGCTCCTGGCTTCGGATCGGCGCAGCACCGGCCGTTGAGGTTGTAGGGACTTATTCCAATATCCCACTCTGGACCCTGCGCCATTTCTTCTTCCTCACAGCTCATGAAATTCGCGCCAGTCCAGCCATCCACCAATCAGATGTAACCTGGCATTCCACCTGAGAATCCCACCCCCAATCTCCCAGCCCCTTCCCCAAACCCGCCTACTCACCAATCATCCCCAGGCATTCACCTACAGGCACCAATCCCCTGGGGCCTTGACCTCAATCCCTCCGAATCCCCGCCCCCACACCTGGCAGACAAAAAAGGCCCCCAGGTGCGGTTCTCTCTCTCTCTCCTCTTCTTGGCCTCCTCTTCCTTGCTCTTCCCCTCCCTCTCTCCTTCTGGCCTCCCTCCCTCCCCCCCTTCCCTTTCCCCTCCCTTTTTCCTGCCCTGCTGGAATAAACTTCCCAAGATATGTCCTTGCGTCTGGTATTTTCAGTTCACGGTAAAGAACCAGGTTGCGGGAATTAGCTGCACGTAAGATATCGTAATATCCTATGATCTAGAACTAGAACTCTACCACTGTTTTAAATAACAGAGGTCACTTGGGGAGTGAATCATCGGGTGGAAGATCTTCCTCTCGGTCTCTCCTCCTCTCTGTACATCTGCCTTTCCAATAAAATAAATAAATCTTAGGAAAAAAAGCATAAAGAAGCTAAAAGCAACTTGACCTGGGAATCAGGAAGTAAACTGGGAATCAGACCCAGATCTGCCAGGCCACAGAACCTTAGAACAGTCTACCTCCCACTGCCAGAGGGTCCTCAGAAAGGCGATAAGTTTATTCTAATGCAAAAGTCTGTTGAACCTATGTATACAAGGGGGTCTTCAGAAAGTTAAATGGAATGTGTATTGTGCCAAGACTATGCATGGATTTTTCACGTAGTAAATCTTTTTTTTCACCTAAGTAAATCTATTTTTCAATTTAAAAGGCACAGTGAGAGAGAGAAGAGAGATCTGTTAAGAAACAGGGTAGGAATTCACAGCCAAATCGGATTCATTATCAGAGGGAAAACATAAATCCACAGAAGGTGACAGAGTGCCTGTGTGGATGGAGTGACCACATGGCAGGGGCCCAGGCCTTCAGCAGGCTGGGCTTTTTATAATTTGGGGCAGAGGGGGAGGGGCACCTAGGGGTGGAGAGAATTCCAAGAAAAAGGAGGAGTGGGTGGGGGCCAGGCCAGCTTTGTGTGGGCGCTTCAACCTAGCTAAATCCTGTTTCCTGCTGGGATTGGGGCAGATTAGACAGACTAGCCTTTTGAAATGCAGTTCCTGGTGGGAGATTCTTCACTCACCAGAATGGCCACAAAGATTGGGTGATGGTGGCGATGGTGCTGGACAAGACCTGGATATGGGTGACTAGGGCACAAACCCTTGGCCATCATCCACTGCCCAATGCATTTCCCAGGTAATTAGAGAGTATCAGAAGTGCAGTAGCCAGGCCTGGTGCGGTAATCTGGCAGCTAAAGTCCTCACCTTGCATGTGCTTGGATCCCATATGGGCATCAGTTCTAATCCCAGCAGCCCTGCTTCCCATCCAGTTCCCTGCCTGTGGCCTGGGAAAGCAGTCGAGGATGCCACAAAGCCTTGGGACCCTGCACCCGCGTGGGAGACCTGGAAAAGTCTGGCTCCTGATTGCCACAGCACCAGCCGTTCTGGCCACTTAGGGAGTAAATCAGCAGACAGAAGATCTTCCTCTGTCTCTCCTCTTCTCTGTATATCTGACTTTCTAATAAAAATCAATCTTAAGAAAAAGTGGAGCAGCCAAGACAAATTGGTTCCCATATTGGATGCTGGCATTACAACCAGGGCTTTACACATTATGCTACAACCCTAGCCCCAAACTTATTTTTTTCTTCAAATGCATGCTTATTTTGAAAGCAATTTTCTCCGCAAACTTTTGGGAGCCCTTTTATATTTTACATCTGTACTGTTTGCCCCAATTTACCATTTTTTTGAGTTGCCCCCCCCCCCAATTCTGCTAATATCATGTGTATGAGTTATCTGTGCCTTCCCAAAGGGTGTTTTTCTCCATTTGAGTAAGAACCTACTCTTGAGAATGCATCTCACCAAGACTTTTCATGTCCTTCTAAAAATGTGAACCGTTGGGATCAGCACTATTGCTCAACTGGCGAATCTTCCATCTCCAAGCATGGCATCCCATATGGGTGCTGGTTTGAGTCCTGGCTGCTCCACTTCCCATCCAGCTCCCTGCTTCTGGCCTGGGAATGCAGCAGAGGATGCTCCAAGGCCTTGGGATCCTACACCCATGTGGACCCCCCATGGAGGAGATTCCTGGCTGCTGGCTTCAGATCAGCTCAGCTCAGGCTATTGTGGCCAACTCCAGTGGATACTTCTCTGTCTCTCCTTGTTTGTTCACTTTTCCAGTAAAAATAAATAAACCTTAAAAAAAAAAATGTTGCTCCTTTTTCCAGACAGCTCCGCTAAAACTGATTCAACTACTTCAATTGAGACAAGCTGTGGTGTTGACCGAGCACTGAATCACAGGAGACAAGTACTTCCTAGTAGATTGAGCAATGTTCCCAGTCACATAATTAGGAAGAGGCACTATTGGGATTACAACCCTGATTATGGGGTGGGGATGGAAGTTTGGCATTGTGGCTTACATCATTGCCTAGGATGCCCACATTGGAATGCCTGCCTCAAATCTAGGCTCTTCTGCTCTCGGTATAGCCACCTGCAAATGTTCACCCTGGAAAGCAGCAGATGACACTCAAGTACTTGGTCCTTGCCACCTACATGGAGACCTGGATGCAGTTCTGAGCTTCTGGCTTTCGCATGGCTGTACCTTGGTTGTCGTAGCATTTGGAGTGTAACCAGTAGATCTCTCTGTGTGGGATTTTAAGTTTTATTTATTGGAAACACAGAGACAGAGAATCGTTAATCTGCTTGCTCACTCCCCAAATGGTTGTAATGCCTGGAACTGAGTCTATTTGAAGCCAGCAGCCGGGACAGAAGATCTTCTTCCTGGTACTCCATATGGGTTCAGGCACTCAACGACTTGTGCTATTCTCTGCTATTTTCCAAGGCACATTATCAGGTATTTAGGTCAGAAGCAGAGTAGCCAGGAATCACAGTGGCCCCTCTCTCTTTAAAATAAAAATGAAAATTAATCATTTTTAAACCCATCTTTTTAAAAATCTTGAACCCTCGTCTTTGTTCTCTGCCAACAAGGTCACAGAGGATACCGGGGACAATGGTAGGGAAAGGCCTATCACAGCTCATGATGCATA